CAATATATTTCGATATTTTTCGATATTTTGACAAAAAAAAAATTTTTTATTTTTCCGAGATTTTTCAAAGGGTACCCCTTCAGATTTTGCGAAATTTTCGTTTTTTGCCAATAACTCCCAAACGGATGGACTTAGAGGAAGATTTATAGGACCATTTTGTAGAGGACGATGAGATCTACAAGTTCTGTATAAAACTTTTTTGCTAGCGTCAACAGTTAACGAGTAATATGTAAAAAACCGTTTTTCCGTTTTTCGTCAATAACTCGTAAACTATCAACGCTAGCGAAGAACGTTTTGTCAAAAGTTCGCTGATTCGGCGGTGGGAAGGTCGGATTTCGTTAATGGCAATAAAATGCCAATTAACTGCACTTAACTCGTTAAATACTAGAGTTCGAAGAAAAATGCGTAGAACCTTTCTTGTAGAGGATGTCAGTGCCTAAAATTTCTGTATAGAAAGCTTTTCACGAGCGCCAATAATTAATTGGATATTTCCTTCTATACTTTTTAGCACGTAGCTATTTATTATTAGCATTGTTCTTTCGACGTCTGATTTATTTTTAATTATAGGAAATGCGTTTTTCTGAAGTACATAAACTTTTGGGACTGATTGTATAGCTAATACATCCTTAAGCGTATCATCGCAGCATTGGTTCAACAGGTAGGATCGTAGATTGAATGAAAAGAACCGAGTTTTATCGTACAGGCGAAGGTTTTCGCGGTGCGTCGCTTGGTTTTGTTCGTTTTAGAACTATGCGCGTTCCTTCTTCGGACGTATCTCATTTCCACGTAGACATTTGAAGTTTGAACTCCCAGCATTCTCGTTTACCATAAATTCATAAACATCTGCGCGATCTGATTCATTATAATTAAAATATACACGAAAACGTATGTCATTTCATTTTTACGTATGGTACTTTGAATTATTTAAATGCAGAATCGAAATATTTGCAATTTCCCGATCGTCCACGTCATTTGTTGTTGAATGCGCGAGAACAATGAACACGAGGGATATTGAATAATTAGATCATTGAATCATAGTAATGATAAAATAAGGCGAAGATAAAGACGTAATATCCACCCGGTTCGGCAAAGAATTCTTATTTCTTCATTGTCAATGTTTCCCTGAATACCCGTGGAACGGACGTTGAAATCATAACGTTACGTTTCTCGATCCTATGTTCTTGACGAAATAGCGTATACGTAAAATTAGGCGAATCTGATCGCATTCAGAGACAATGCAGAAAAAAAATGCGAGCGATGAAGTCGACAGTGAACGTCCGGTAGAAACGGAAGAAATATGGATATATAAGTAGAGGATTTATAAATATCTTTAAAGCGTATTAATTAAACACGATTTACCATTCCCTTCGTTTCCATACTGTCACGCAATATCTATGCAAAGTACGTGCGTAACTATCCACAGTAGTCGAGGGTTCGTT